CCCATGGATGGTGTCTCCCCACGGATGGTGACACCCCTGGGTGGTGGCACCCGTGGATGGTGTCTCCCCACGGATGGTGGCACCCATGGGTGGTGGCACCCATGGATGGTGTCTCCCCATGGATGGTGTCTCCCCACGGATGGTGGCACCCCTGGGTGGTGGCACCCGTGGATGGTGGCCCCCATGGCGCCCGCGGGCGCTCACCAGTCGTAGTCGAGCACGGCGATGGTGAGGCTGACGCTGTGCACGCTGGCGTGCGGCACGTCGAACACGAGCGCCTCGTTGTAGCTGGGGTTCAGCGTGTTCTTCTTGATGGACGTCTTGCGCTTCTTGAGCCGCCGGCCCTCGGCCATGAGCGACGCCTTCACGTAGGGGTCTGCGGCGGCGGCGCCCATGGGTGCCGCGCACCCAGACCCATGGGGACGGGGACACCCTATGGGGATGGGGACACCCCCCTGGACACCCTGGGGGCTCACGTGGAGCTACGGGACCCATGGGTGCTGCATGGAACCCCCTGCAGGGGGCACCCAGAGGTGACATACAGGGACACCCCCCGGAACCTCGTGGGGACCCGTGGCCACCCCTATGGACCCAAAGCCACCCCAGGGGATGCCCTGGGAGACTCACATGGAGCTACGGGCCTGTGGACCCCAAGCTTGTCCCAACCCATCGCTCGTGTCCTCCCATGTCCCCTCATGTCCTTCCATGTCTCCCACATCCCACCATGTCCCCCCATTCACTCCCATGTCTCCTCATGTCCCTCCATGTCCCCCCACGTCCCTCATGTCCCCCCATGTACTCCCATGTCTCCTCATGTCCCTCCATGTCTCTCAACGTCCCTCATGTCCCTCAACATCTCTCATGTCCCCTCAACATCCCTCAACGTCCCCCATGTCCCTCAATGTCCCTCATGTCCCTTAATGTCCCCCATGTCCCCATGTCCCCGTGTCCCTCCATGTCCCCGTGTCCCCCCATGTCCCTTAATGTCCCCCGTGTCACTTAATGTCCCCCATGTCCCCATGTCCCCGTGTCCCCCCATGTCCCTTAATGTCCCCCATGTCCCCATGTCCCCGTGTCCCCCCGTGTCCCCATGTCCCCGTGTCCCCGCACTGACCCGAGTAGCCGGTGAGGTCCATGGCGCGCAGGTTGGACGCCCGGATGATGGTGACCGTGAGGCGCCCGGCCGTGGGCAGGTAGCACAGCGAGAAGTTCACCTCGCCCAGGTCGGCCTTCTCCTGGGGACGGGGACACGGGCGTCACGGAGCCCGCGCGGGCCACCGGGCACCCGCCCGCCGCGGCTCCCCCCGGAGCCTCCGAAACGGGTGGAACTGGGCGGAAACCGGGAGAAACCGGGGAGAAACCGGGGTGAAACTGGGGAGAAACCGGGGAGAAACTGGGGAGGAACTGGGGAGAAACCGGGGAGAAACCGGGGAGAAACTGGGGAGAAATGGGGTGAAACCGGGGAGAAACCGGGGTGAAACTGGGGAGAAAACGGGGTGAAACCGGGGAGGAACTGGGGAGAAACCGGGGAGAAATGGGGTGAAACCGGGGAGAAACTGTGGTGAAACTGGGGAGAAACTGGGAGAAACCAGGGAGAAACCGGGGTGAAACTGGGGAGGAACTGGGGAGAAACCGGGGAGAAACTGGGGAGAAACTGGGGAGAAAACGGGGTGAAACTGGGGAGGAACTGGGGAGGAACCGTGGAGAAACCATGGAGAAATGGGGTGAAACTGGGGAGAAACGGGGTGAAACCAGGGAGAAAACAGGGAGAAACCGGGCTGAAACTGGTGAGAAACCATGGAGAAACCGGGGAGAAATGGGGTGAAACCGGGGAGAAACTGGGGAGAAACCTGGGAGAAATGGGGTAAAACCGGGGAGAAACTGGGGTGAAACTGGGGAGAAACTGGGAGAAACCAGGGAGAAACCGGGGTGAAACTGGGGAGAAACTGGAGTGAAACTGGGGAGAAAACAGGCGGAAACGGGTGAGGAACCGGGTGGAAACAGGTGAGAAACTGGGGAAAAACCGGAGAGAAACCGGGGTGAAATTGGGGAGAAACCAGGGGGAAACTGGTGAGGAACCAGGGCGAAATGGGTGAGAAATTGGAGTGAAACTGGTGAGAAAACAAGATGAAATGGGTGAGAAACCGTGTGGAAACAGGTGAGAAACTGGGCAGAAACCGGTGAGGAACCGGGGTGAAATGGGTGAGAAACTGGGGTAAAACAGGTGGGAAACTGGGGTGAAATTGGACTGAAATGGGGGAGAAATGGGAGGGAAACAGGAGAAATGGGGGAGAAAGTGAGAGAAAAATGGGTGAATTTGAGAGGAAACTGGCATGAAATTGGGGTAAAACCAGGTGAAACAGTGAAATTAGGGAGAAAATGGGGTGAAACTGGAGTGAAACCAGGTGAAACTGCTATGAAACTGAGTTGAAATTGGGGTGAAACCTGTTGGAATTGGGGTGAAACCAGGGAGAAACTGGGGTGATAGGAGGGTGAAACTGGAGTGAAGCTGGAGTGAAACCAGGATGAAACAGGTGAATCTGGGGTGAAAACAGGGTGAAATTGGGGGGAACTAGAGTGAAAGCAGAGCAAAAGCGGCATGAAACCAGAGTGAAACCGGAGCCATGATGGGGCCCCAAACGGAGCCATGAATGGAGCCAAAACTGGAGTGAAACCGGAACCGCAGAGGGATTTGCAAGTGGAGCCAGAACCAGAGATGCGAATGGCACCAGAACCAGAATCGCAACCAGAGATGCAAACGGAGCCCAATCCGGAGCTGCAAATGGAGCCAAATGTGGAGCTGCAGGTGGAGCTGAAACCGGGATTGCAATCGGATCTGCAATTGGAGCTGCAATTGGAGCTGCAATTGGAGCTGCAACCACAATCACAACCGAAGTTACAAACAGAGCCGCAAGCGGTCATGAAACCGGAGCCGCAAACGGGACCAAAACCAGATTGCAACCGGAGGAGCAAACGGAGCCGAAAAGGGAGCTGCAAGAGAGTGGAAACCAGGATCAGCCCTGGATCTGCAACCAGAGCCGCAAATGGAGCCAAACCAGAACCGCAACTGGAGGCGAAACCGCAACTGGATGTGCAATTGGAGTAAAAATTGGGGCCAAACCAGGAATGCGGTTGGAGTGGAAACTGGAGCCACAAATGGAGCTGGAAATGGGGCAGCTGATGGAGCTGAAACCAGAATTGCAACTGGAGCAGCGGATGGAGCTGAAATGGGAGCCAGAAAGTGGAGCTGCTGATGGAGCCGGAATGAGAACTGCAGCTGGAAACGAAATGGAGCCCAAAATGGAGCGAAAACCGAAATTGCACCCAAAGCTGCAACGGGAGCAGCAACTGGAGCCAAAATGGAAGCAAAAAGGGAGCTGGCAATGGAATCAAAACCAGAAGTGCAACCCGAGCAGGAAACGGAGCTGAAAAAGGAGATGATGATGGGGTTGAAACCAAAATTACAACCAGAGCTGCAGCCAGAATTGCAACCGAAGCTGCAACTGGAGCCAAAAATGGAGCCAAAATGGAGCCAAATGGAGCGGATGGCAGAGCTGAAATCAGGACTGCAACTGGAGCTGAAACGGAGTCAAAACGGAGCTGGCAACGGAGCCCAAAGCAAGAATTGCAATTGGAGCTGCAACCAGAATTGCAACCGGAGCAGCAAATGGAGCTGAAATGGAGCAAAAATTGGGGCTGGTGGTGGAGCCACAACCAGAATTGCACCTGGAGCAGCACCTGGAGCCAAAAACTGAGCTGATAATGGAGTCGGAACAGAATTTGCAACCGGAGCAGCAAATGTAGCCAAAATGGAGCAAAAATTGGAGCTGGTGGTGGAGCTGCAACCAGAACTGCAACCGGAGCAGCAAATGGAGCCAAAAACTGAGCTGATAATGGAGTCGCAATAGAATCTGCAGCCGGAGCAGCAAATGGAGCCGAAATGGAGCCAGCGATGGAGCTGACGATGGAGCAGACATCGGACGCGCAACCCCAAGTGCAACAGGAGCCACAAGTGGAGCCCAAACGGAGCGAAAACTGGCGCTGGTGGTGGGGCCAGAAGCGGAATTGCACCTGGAGCAGCAAATGGGGCCGAAATGGAGTCGGGGATGGAGCTGATGATGGAGCAGACACCGGGCGCGCCGCCGCGCGGGCGGCGGCGCCGGCTCACCGCGGTGGCCTCCAGGATGTCCCTCCAGATGGGCGTCTCGGCGTCGCGCTCGGCCGCCTCCAGCAGGTTGTCCAGCACCACCTGGCCGATGAGGTCGTGGCGCGAGAAGCGGTCGAAGTCGTAGACGCTGAAGTGGAGGCGGCGCGCGGGCAGCTCGGCGAAGGGCACGCCGAAGCTGAAGGTCTCGTCGAAGACGGGGTTGAGCGTCTTGCGGTGCACCTTGGTCTGGAACTTCTTCTTGCGGTCGGGCAGCAGGTACATCTTGACGTAGGGGTCGGAGAAGCCGTTGGCGTCCTTGGCGGGCAGGTCGAGGGCGCGCAGGATGCGCACGACGAGCTGCTCGGAGCCGTAGGCGTAGCGCACGGCCACGCTGAGGCGGCCGCAGGGCGCGCCGGCCCGCGCCTCCGCCTCGCCGGGCTGGTAGAGCTCGGGCTTGATCTGCCCGATGCTGGTGGCCTGCTCGGCCTTGTCCTCGTGGCCGCCGCCGTCCGGGCTGGGCGGCTGCGGCGCGGCGGGACGCGGGTTGTACCTGCGGGACGGTGGACATGGGGTCCCCGGGGTCCCCACGAGGCTGCGGCGGCCTCAGCCCCCTTGGTGGGGGCGTCACCATCACTGATGGTCTCGTGAGGCTGGTGGCACCCGACCTCGTCCCATCCGCATCTCCAGTGCATCCCCATCTCCATCTCATCCCATCCTCATCCCCATCCACCCTCATCTCCACTCTAACCTCGTCTTCATCCCATCCCCATCTCCAGTGCATCCCCATCTCCATCTCATCCCATCCCATCTCCATCCCCATCCCACCCTCATCTCCACTCCAACCTCGTCTTCATCCCTTCCCCATCTCCAGTCCATCCCCATCTCCATCTCATCCCATCCCATCTCCATCTCATCCTCATCTCCACTCCAACCTTATCCACTTACCCACCTTATCCAACCAATGTCCCACTTCCATCCCATCCCCATCTACATCTCCCATCTTCATCCCATCCTCATCCCCATCCCATCCTCATCTCCACTCCAACCTCATCTCCATCCTGTCCCCATCTCCAATCCATCCTCATTCCCATCTTCATCCCATCCTCATCCCCATCCCATCCTCATCTCTGCTCCAACCTCATCTTCATCCCATCCTCATCTCCGTACCATCCCCATCCCCATCTCCAATCCCTATCCACCCCACTTCCATCTCCATCCCATTCCCATCTCCAGCTCCCATCTCCATCCCATCTCCATCCCATCTACCATCCCACTTCCATCTCCCTCCCACTTCCATCTCCGTCTCCATCCCATCCCCATCTCCAGCTCCCATCTCCATCCCACTTCCATCTCCATCTCCATCCCATTCCCATCTCCATCCCATCTCCATCTCCATCCCATCTCCATCTCCATCCCATTCCCATCTCCATCCCATCCCCATCTCCATCCCATCCCCATCTCCATCCCATCTCCATCTCCATCCCACCGCCATCCCCACCCCATCCCCACGTTCCCCCACGCCCCCCGCGCCCCCGGACCCACCTGGGGACGGGGGCGCCGGGCGCGGGGGCGGCCACGGGCTGCTGCGAGAGGGCGCTGGGCAGCCCCGCGGCGCCGGCCTCCTTCTCCAGCGGCAGCTCGGGCGACGTGAGGCTGGGCCGCAGCGGCGCCTCGGGCCGCGCGCCCATGTCCAGGTAGGCGCGCTCGGGCGACGCGGCGCCCGCCTCGGGGAGCAGCTCCCCGAAGGGCCCCGCGGCGCCCAGGGGCGGCTCCTTGCGGGGGGCGGCCCCCGGCACCCCCTTGTCGCGCCAGGGCACCCAGCAGAGCTTCCAGGAGACGAAGAGCGAGACGCCCAGCAGCACGATGCCGCAGAAGGTGACGATCACCGAGAGCAGGCTCACCGAGATGTCTGCGGGGACACGGCGGCGCTGGCACCGCGGCGCCCCGCGGGGTGGCCCCGACACCCTACGTGTGGGACCTGGGTGTCCCCAACGGCTCGGGGGTCTCCAAATGGGGGTAACGGTCAACATGTGGAGCCTACATGGGGATGGGAATGCCCCGAGATACCCTACGTGTGGGACGTGGGTGTCCCCAATGGCTCGGGGGTCTCCAAATGGGGGTAACGGTCAACATAGGGAGCCTACATGGGGATGTGGGTGCCCCAAGACATCCTACGTGTGGGACCTGGGTGTCCCCAACGCCTCGGGGGTCTCCAAATGGGGGTAACGGTCAACATGTGGAGCCTACATGGGGATGTGGGTGCCCCAAGACATCCTACGTGTGGGATGTGGGTGTCCCCAACGGCTCGGGGGTCTCCAAATGGGGGTAACGGTCAACATGTGGAGCCTACATAGGGGTGGGAGTGCCCCGAGCTGCCCTACATGTGGGACACGGGTGTCCCCAACCACTTTGGGGTCTCCAAATGGGGGTAATGGTCAATGCATGACACCTACATACAGATGGCACTGCCTTCAGCCACCCTACTTGTGGGACATGGGTGCCCCCAACAGCTTTGGGGTCTTCAAATGGGGGTAATGGTCCACATACGGAACCTACATAGAGGTATGGGTGCCCCGAGCCACCCTACATGTGGGACATGGGTGTCCCCAACCACTTTGGGTCTCCAAATGGGGGTAATGGTCAGCCAATGGCACCCATATGGCACAACAATGCTGTCCTCCAAGGGGGCACCATGACCAGCCCATCACCCGCAGAAGGGTCCCCAAATGGGTGACATGGACCCATCACCCAACTGAGGTCCTCCAAGGGGGCACCATGACCACCCCATGACCCTCAGAGGGTCCCCAAAGGGAGACACGGGCCCATCACCCAACCGAGGTCCTCCAAGAGGCCACCCCAACCACCCTTTTGGGGTCCCCAAACGGGTGACATGGACCCATCACCCAACCAGGTCCTCCAAGGGGGCACCATGACCACCCCATGACCCTCAGAGGGTCCCCAAAGGGAGACACGGGCCCATCACCCAACCGAGGTCCTCCAAGGGGGCACCATGACCACCCCATGACCCTCAGAGGGTCCCCAAACGGGTGACATGGACCCATCACCCAACCGATGTCCTCCAAGAGGCCACCCCAACCACCCTTTTGGGGTCCCCAAACGGGTGACATGGACCCATCACCCAACCAGGTCCTCCAAGGGGGCACCATGACCACCCCATGACCCTCAGAGGGTCCCCAAATGGGTGACATGGACCCATCACCCAACCGAGGTCCTCCAAGAGGCCACCCCACCCACCGCAGCACCCAAGCATGCCCAAGGCGGGCCCCGGGGAGCACCCGCCGCCCCAGGAAGCCCCGCGGGAGGCCCTCACCGGCGTCGGAGGGCCGCGGGTGGCCGCGGTTGCGCAGCAGGTCGGTGAACTCGAGGCACTTCTCGTGCTGCTCCAGGGCGCGCAGCGAGAAGCAGAGCTCCTTGACGAGCGTCAGGGCGCTGCGGCACACGTCCTCCTCGTAGTCCCCCGACATGGCGCGGCCGCCTGCGGGCACCCGCGCCGCTCAGCACCCACGGGCGCCGGCTGGGCGGGCGGCCGGCGGCGGGCAAGGACAGGCGTGCATGGGGTTGTGCTCGTGAGCGTGCAAGGACAGGTGTGCAGGGTGCAAGGACAGGCGTGCACGGGGTTGTGCTTGTGAGCGTGCAAGGACAGGCGTGCAGGGTGCAAGGACAGGTGTGCACGGGTGCAAGGACAGGTGTGCATGGGTGCAAGGACAAGGGCGCATGGGGTTGTGCTCGTGAGCGTGCAAGGACAGGGGTGCACGGGTGCAAGGACAGGCGTGCATGGGGTTGTGCTCGTGAGCGTGCAAGGACAGGTGTGCAGGGTGCAAGGACAGGCGTGCAGGGTGCAAGGACAGGGGTGCACGGGGTTGTGCTCGTGAGCGTGCAAGGACAGGCGTGCAGGGTGCAAGGACAAGGGCGCATGGGGTTGTGCTCGTGAGCGTGCAAGGACAGGGGTGCACGGGTGCAAGGACAGGCGTGCAGGGTGCAAGGACAGGCGTGCATGGGGTTGTGCTCGTGAGCGTGCAAGGACAGGCGTGCAGGGTGCAAGGACAGGGGTGCACGGGTGCAAGGACAGGTGTGCACGGGTGCAAGGACAAGGGCGCACGGGGTTGTGCTTGTGAGCGTGCAAGGACAGCCGTGCAGGGTGTAAGGACAGGCGTGCGTGGGGCCGTGCTCACGTGTGTGTGTGCGGTGTAAGCACAGTCGTGCGTACGGTTGTGCTCGTGGGCGTGCAAGCACAGTCGTGCACGGGTGGTGTTCAGGGTGTGCGTGGTGGTGCAAGCACAGTCGTGCGTGTGCAGGGTCCCCGTGCAAGGCCACCTACCGGCTCCGTGGCGGGCGCAGCGGGTGCCGGGGCTCAGCGGTGCCCGGGGGGGGGCGCGGGTGCCCGGCAGGGGGGGTCCATGCGGCGGCACGGGGGGGTCACTGGGGTGCAGCCGGGGGCACCGGCCCCTGGAGGGGGGCAGTCCGGACGCCTGGGTCCCGCTGTCCTGGGGTGACCCCCCCCCAATCCCATGCATGGCCCCCCCTCGTGCAAGGCTGTTGCACACTGGGGGGGGGGTGTTGCACGCGCTTGTGCGCTCGTGGTTGAGTTGGGGGCCGCCTCTGCTCCCAGCACCCCAAAACTGCCCCCTCTAGCGCCACCAAAATAGGTCGAAACCCTCCAAAACTGCCCCCAAACCCCCCAAACTGCCGCTTTCACCCCCAAATTGTCTCCAGGACCCTCAAATTTGCCCCCAGGACCCCTCTCAACTGCTCCTGAGACCCCAAACCTGCCCCAAGAGCCCCCAAACTGCCCCCTGGACCCCAGCTCTGTCCCTGGGACCCTGACCTACCCCTAACACCCCCAAATCTGCCC